TGAGGGCGGGGTAGTAGGACAATAGATGAGGGGTGCGCTCATACACTAAGACTTGTGAAGCAAGTTTTTGCTTTTCCTTTCGGGGGTTTTTTTGTGGGGGGGGGTTGTTTGTTGGTTTGTTTGGTTGTTGTTGTTTTTTTGCTGGGTTTTTTAAGTTATTTTTTAAAATAAGAGTTCTCCGGCACTTGCAACTCAATAAAGACATGTAAGTGGGGAAGATTAGAGGTGTTACAAGAAAGTAACAAACACTAAAAAGACGGAGGAGAGATAAGGACGATTCGTGTTTGAAAGTAAAGAAAGAGCAAACCACACCAGAGCACCCCCTAACCACCTACAGACGAGGACTGCATTCAGGCACGTGTAAAGCAAGTGAAATAAAATCCTAACCGTAGACGTTTTACATAGTTTAGATCATTTAAGAGACGACCTTCTTAGACCCTCCTTGTCAGGGCCAACCCAGCCCAAGAAGGATACAACATCCAAGAAGACAGGCGAAAATACTCGATGAAAATTAGAGCCATAGTATGGAGTCCGAACTCGCGTCTTCTACACGAAATGGTGGCGCACCTCACTGCTGCGCCACAGACCTTAGTCTGAAACGAGTGACCGATTTTAAAATATAATAAAAGAGAGAAAAATATGTGCGAGCAGTTAACAGTACAGGTGTAAGACTGGTTAAAAACAGAGCAACTGACAAACTATATAATTATGCTGTGTTGGATTGGCGGAAAGGGGGCGGGGGGGGGGCTTCTTTTTCTGTTTATTTGTTCTTTGATTCGTTTGTTTCTTGTCGATTGTTTTTTTTAAGGGGGCTGTTTGTTGTTTTTTTGGTAGGGGTGTTTGTTTCTTTTGTGTGTGTGTGTTGTTGTTGGTTTTTTCAGTGAAGAGAAGCATATCGACACAATAACAATTCCTTGGTGTATGTAAAAACACGCCTACATAATAACGACCATTTAGTGTCGTTAAAAAAAAAGAGGACAAACAGACAGAAATAACAGATTGTAAGATTACAAACAGGACCAACCTCTGACATTTTTCCAACCAACAGACAGGTAAATAAAAATTGGGCGAGAACAAAGCTCAAAACAAACAAACAAAAAGACAAGCAAACCCTTATAATAAAAACAGACAAACACACCGACTAATCTGTGCGACAGAGAGACAGAAAAGCTTAAAATTGTTTGAAAAGAAAAGGAAAGTCAGGAAAAGGACAGAAAGAAAGAAAAGAAATCGTTTAATGAAAATATCGGTAATCGAGGGTGAAAAGGCAATCGGGTAAAAAATATTAGCATGATTCTATCATCAAATAAGAGAACCGGTATTCAAGCAGCTGTATCCTTAATATGACAAAGTTCTTTCTTTCCACAAAACAGATTCTGGATTAAACTAATCAAAACAAAAGATGAAAAATAACTCTTATCACTGTTTCTCAATAGAATTTTGATTTGCTTTGTTTTCTTGGGGTGGGGGGGGGGGGTTCTCCTCTGATCAGTGGGTTTTATAAAGAGTTGATTTGTTTGTTGTTGTTGTTGTTTTGTTTTTGTTTTTACTCAAACGCTTTTTGACAAATGTATGTACTTGGAACATGGAGATAAATGCAAATGCTTTTCACCTTCATCGACATGATTTAAAAACCATTCAGGAAGCCACCAGGTTTGAGTCTGTTGGAGTCAACCCGGGCTAAGGGAGATATAATATCCCAGCTGACAGATAGAGATACACGATTTTTTAAAAAAGAACACACGCTCTAAAAAATCGAGCTCACGTCTTCAGCATGCAATAGTGAAATGTCTAATCTTCACACCACATAGATTCTGTTCTCGAGCAGCAAAAAAAAAAAGAAAGAAAATAATAATGATTTTGAATTTGAATGTTTTTGGCATATTTCTGACTAATCAAGGTAAGGACTGGCGAGCTTTGAAAAGAATAGACGCAGTCCTCAAACAGAGATTGTTGATTTTATTGATCACATTTTTCGCTGACCGTTCGCTTGACCGTGTTAGCCCTTAATCGATCTCGCCAATGGAAGAAATCTGGATGTGGCTAAGAAGTAATTATGGGTGTTTTTACGCCCCCTTCGACACAGCTTAGATCACTTAGGACGCAGGTTCCCTCTATCCTGCTAGCCAGGGTCAGCTATGGCTGGGAGGGACACGTCGTCCCAACAGACAGACGGAGCTACTTGGTGAAAATTTTCCTCGTACAGGGAACGAACTCATGTCTTTTTTATACAATGACGAGGCTCCTAACCGCTACAAACTAGGAGCCTTGGAAATAAAGGCATTTAAAAAGTAATAATATGCTTCTAGTTTGTTAACACAAAACTTTTTTTTGCGGGAATTGGATTTTGGATATAGCTTCGCTGTCGCACGCAGGAGACCCGAGTTTGATTCCCGTGCGGGGAAACTTTTTATCGAGTATCAGGGTCTTTCTGCTATGATGTCGTATCCCAGTCCGGTTTGGCCCTGGCAGCAAGGGTCTGTAGCCTGCCTCCTAAATGATCTAAATTGTATCAATGGGGGAGTAACAAAACCAACATTTTTTAAAATTCTCTCCAAACTCGTACAGTCCATCCCACGCTGTTATAAAACTGTTTATAAAAACTGTTTACACTTGGAATATGCTGGAGCAGCGGTATTTTAAAAACCAAACAGTTATAATTTGTATACTGTAAGGCATGTATTTGTTAATAAATTTATCACAGTTAAAGTATCGTATGGGTCTCAGTCTCGTTTCATTTTTTGGCAAGAAAAAACTGCGGTATTCTGAGTCATTTTACTCTAACACTCCCCCCCCCCCCCCCCCCCCCCCCGGGTCAATAATTTATGAGCTTGCATTTGGGATGGGTGTAGGTAGGTAGGGTAGCTGCGGGGCTTTTAGGCCGATTTGGATTATTATAAGATTTGACCTTATCCGGGTCTAAGAAAAGAACTGATTGTAATGATTCCAAAGGTTTTACGCCCACGTCGAAATAATTTAGGTCATTTCACATTCAGGCTGCTTCGATCCAGTCTCTCAGAGCCAACCTGGACTAAGTGAGCAACAGAATTCTAGCGGAAAGGCGGAGATACTCAATAAGACAATTTCCTCACTCGGAAATATAACTCACGCCCTTTGCGTGCAACAAGGAAGATCCTAAACGCTACACCTCACATTGCGGTTCTAGGACAGAAAAAACCTTGATTTTATTTTAAAGTAAATTGAAGTGAAAGTGGTGAAATGGTGCCTGTCTAGCGCTCCTATCAACACTGTTAGGTTATTTGAGAGGCAGGACCTCCGAGTTTAGTGTCCATCTCCGAAAGGACTTAACCAAATGGAAAATTCGTGTAAAGTGTCTTTCCTATTGACACAACGTCGAACTGAGCTGAGGTTCGAACTACCGAACCCGCAATCTCACAATTACGAGACCGGTAGCCTAACCACTAGGCCACCGACGTCACAATTAAAGTGAAACAATATCCCCCCAAAAATGAAATAAGTAAATAATAAATACTCTATTTTTCTTCAAATGTATGAATGATCAGCCTGTGAACGGCCGGGCTGTGAAAAGAATGGACTCCGCCAAAGAGAGAGATTGTTGACTTTATTGATCACGTAATCGCTGACCGTTCGCTTGACCTTTTTAACCCTTTATCGATCTCGCCAGTGGGAGAAATCTAGATGTGGGAACTGGTTAAAAGGGTCAGTTGTTCAAAGACAAATTGGAGTCACGTCTAGTGAGCCAGGAAAGATTGAAACCGTACTCAGCTGGATAATAATATTTTTCTTTTTCTTTCAGTACCCTTTCGTAATGAACTGATGCCAACTGTTTGAAACAGAAACAATCTGCAAAAGTGTGCTCCTTCTTTTCTCCTTTTTTGGGGGAAGCTTTATTTACAACTTCTTGTGTTTCCTCCTGCAAATAAAATAGCAGGTGCATGACTAAATAAGCTTGCAGAAAGTCTGCGTTTACATTCTGGTCTTGTTTGTTTTAGTTTCGTTTTGTTTTGGGAGGAGTGGGTTTGTTTGTTTGTTTGTTTGTTTGTATAAGGGGACGCATGTCGACGCAATACGACCCTTCAGTGCAGGAAAAAAGTGAGACGAAAAGACAGAAAAAGAAACAACAAAGGAAAAGAAAAGAAGTGTGCCCTACGGGTGCCGCGATCCAATTCCCTATTTCTTCTTCTTTTATGCACAGTCAACGAACAACTAAGCTGCTTTTTGAATGAATCGTGACATTTCGTAGAGAGAGGCATATTACCACAAGATAGGCAAACGGAGAAGCAGAAGATGGAAAGAAAAGAATTTAAAAAATATATGACCTCCCAGTGGCTCTCTCAAACCACCCGCTATGTCAAATGATTGATTTTATGGCACAGAATGCGTTTAACGTTACCAACAGTGCAATACAAGAATTTTATTATGTCGCTATACATTATAACAATAAGATGACAGAAACTCAAAGCTGTTTATATAAGAATGTTTGTTCTCTTTTTGCTTAGTGATCTTTTTTTAATTCAAATTGTTGATTCTGTTGTTGTTAATTAGCTTCTATATTGTTCTCCGCTTTTTGTCAGTCGTTTTGGTGTGTGTTTGTTTTTGCTAATGTTTTTACTTGCGGTTTTTTTGGGGGCGAGGGAGGGGGGGGGGGGGGCCGGAAGAGACGAAACAACTCAAAAACTCTATGTTCGCGGTGCCGTTGTTGTCTTTCACAATCATTTCATATTATCTAACCCTCGTTTTATTCTTCTATATAAATACAACCGATACAAAAGTACAAGCCTCTTCAATAAAAAGTTATAAAGCGCATAGATCATGCTGTAAATCATGGATATAAATACAATTGTTATATAACTGTTACTATTGTAACTAAAATCATCATTGTTATTATTATTATTATTATTATTATTATTATTATTATTATTATTATTATTATTATTACTATTATTATCATCATTATTATTATTATTCATTATCTAAAGGCAATATAACAAAAAAAGCAATTAAAACGTGAACGTTACCTGAACGCATCCCTCATATCCAGACGCGTATCCTCATAAACTGACCCCCACAGTCAGTGCCACTGGTCATCCTCACGGACGGATCCACAGAATCTGTTACAACAAAAGCGAGAACCGCATGCATACAAATCCGAACATCTGCGAAGAAGAAATCCTCACACTCTTAGAACTAAACCCCAGCCGTCCAACTCTCTCTGAAGTACGAATCGCATTGTTAGTGTGGTACCGTTATTGATAGAAGCATTCCCAAGAAGGTCCGTCCGAAACGAGAAAAGTCCAAGTTTCTTTTTACTGAGAATCAGAATGAAAGAGAAGACGGTCGGTTAGCATATTATGTCATGCCCAGTCGTGGAAGGTGTATCTGTCATAAGTCGTCCTTTCTGTAATACATTGACACAATTCTTTGCCCGATGGACCACATGTTAAAGTATCAGAAATAGACTGTATCCTTCAAAACAGACGTCAGGGGATTTCGGCTTGCATTTTTTTAAACTGAAAGTGGCAGAAATTTTACTTTTGGTAATAGATTTCCAAACAAGTGATTTTTTTTAAAGTGTTATTCATACAGAACACTTTGAATTGATAACTGCGTACAAAATAATTATGTGAAAGATACCTCTTTTGTGATATTTATTTTTTTAGGATAAAACAGCGGCTTTATTTGTCTCTAGATAATGACAATCTTGGACAATCAGGCCCACCTGCGATAGATACGGCGGCAGAACAAGATCTGCGCAACAAAACAAAACAAAGATAAGTAAGTTACGACACTTTTTCTAAGTGTAGTCCGCGTGCACACCTCGGTGGGTTACAGCTGCCAGCCGGCGGGGACATGGGAGAACCGCTGGCTGCGAGAGAGGGGAGGGGGAGAGAGAAAGAGGGAGGGAGAGAGAGAGAGAAGGTGAGAAATGGAGAGGGAAAGAGAGCGCGCGCGCGTCTCCGCGGCGTAGACGCCGTACTCAACACTCGCTCACTCTCACACTCACACACACGCGCGCGCGCGCGATCCAAAAGATAGCTGCTCCCCAAGATGTGTGCGTGCGCGCTCACTACATCCCACACGGGCGCTTTTGTAGGCTACCTCCTTGCGGGGTTCCACGTTCCCCCGGCCAGTCGTCGTGTCTCTGTTTGGTAGGTTTGGACAGCGGCACCTGGGGCGCCTCATCAGCCAATCGTTGTTTTGTGCGACACCTTTATCTTACTCATAACACCAAGGTTCTTCTTCCTACTTCTTCTATCCGTGGTTGGGGCAACCGTGGGGGCACCACTGCATCATTCTGAAAACCAGCTCTCGCCGTTTATCTTTGTCCTCTGCTGTCCTCAGATTGTCACCCATCGCCTTTCCTGTCCACTCTGTAATGTTGCCCTTCCATCTCCTTCTCTGCCTTCCTCTCTTTCTTTTTCCCTGTACGGTTCCTTGTAGGGTTGTTTTGGCAAGTCCTGTGGATCTTGTGACATGCCCATGCCATATTAATTTTCGTCTCTTCACTGTTGTCAGTAGATCTTCATGCTGCCCCACTGCGTTGGTGATTCTGTTCCGTACCTCAGCATTTGGAACGTAGTCTTTGAACGAAAGATTACAAAACATAAAAGAATAAAGATAAATGCCATTTACTATCACCACCATTGTCGTGAATTACACGTTGTTTGAAAAAAAAAAAAGAAAATAAGGAGACTTATTTATAAAATGTTTCAACCTATCACTTCCAGGGCTTCATAGGGGGCCCTCGTAATCTAGAGGTTACGGTGTTCGCCTGTCATTCAATGGGTCCCGGGTTCGAATCCTACTAGCGACCCAACATTTTCTTCTCTAAAATTTTCTCCTTTAACATCCTTTCCTGCTCTCTAATAATGTTGTGTCGTCTGCTTTCGTCTCCACTTTCTGCCCCCACCCCTCACCCCCTTTACCCCTCGTCAAGGCCCCTGACTCTTAGTGCAGCCTTTCTACTGCTCTCTTTCAGCCACACCCCTGATCTTATGGCACGTAAGATATACACCTAGCCTTCTCTGAAAAGGGCAATAAATCGCGGAGGTCCCGTATCCAAGTTGCGCACGTTAAAGATCCTTTGGTGGTCTAAAATCGATAAAAGTAGGCTTCGGCTATCAGCCGGGCAAGATTCGATATTTCCTACCAACTGAAAATGTTTGGTGTGTCCCACGCGCTCATATGACCTTATGCGGTTGCGAGAGCCGTAAAACACTTACCTAAATAAAATAATTAAAGAAAGTGTGTGATCAACCAAGCTACAAGGGTACAAAACGTCGTAGAATGAGTTACGATTCAATTCAAGTATTGTGATATAAATCCCCCCCAAAACTTATTATTCCTTCAAAGAGCAAGAAACAGAACATAATTTGGGTACGCTTGCATATTTTCCATTTATCATAGACATGATAGATTTTCTGGGCTATCACAGATTTTTGCAATGACTGTAAACGACAGAGCGATGCTGTGCGCTGCTGAACCGACTCACCATGGAGTGTACTAAGAGTTAAAGACTTCATCATCATTGCCTTTCTCACCCTGGGTCAGGGCATAGGCCACGAACAAACACGTTCCAAAGTTCCCTATCCTGGGATAACCTTTTGATGTTATTCCATGTCTTCACACATTTCTGTACTTCAATTTCAGTGACTCTTCACCAGGTTCCACGTGGCTAGCAGTAAACTAAGAGTTAAATAATTTTATTACGTAAACGAGCGCTATTAAAAGACAATTCCAGAACACAGCTAACACTATATCACGCTCGACATCAAGAAATTAGAGAGCATTCCCCATGAAAAGTAACCCCAGATACAATATTTCAACTTGACTTTAACCTGCGTATTTGATATAGCGATTAAGCGTTTCGTAGTCGCACGGAGAAGACTAACTTCGATCGGAGAGGATTTTTATTGAGTACCTTCGTCTTCTTTCTTAGACAGTGTATGTCTCTCAGCCTGAATTGACTCGAACAGGTAGAGTTGAAGCAACCCGCCTTCTAAAGGATCTTAAATTTTAATAATGAATGTCGAGAGGACGAAAAACACCTTACGTAATTAAAATTAAATACAATCACTTGCTTCTAGCTAAACGACTGTGGAGAATTCCAAGTGACGTTAACAACCCTTCAGAAAAACAAATTGGGTTAAAACGTTTTTCTTCATTTTTTGCTGCAAATGTTTCATTCCACAATCGACACAATTCGGATTTCTTCAACCTTGCTTGTCAAGGGTGAGCAGGGCTTTGGGGGACACATCGCCGGAGCAGACAGACGGAATGTCCTAAAGCAAGATCAGTTAGACATACTAGAAAGACTGACTTTATCAAACACACAACAAATTACTCGTTCGAGAGGAAACCAGCGACTGACGATAATACACAGGTGAACGGACACTGGACACAGCACAGCTTGATCCAAACCCCACACAAAGCGACACTCACAAACATCGTGACAGACGAGACAACAAGTGAACAGAGACGCAACAAGAGAAATATCACCACACAGAAATGCTTAATAACATAATATCTTCTCAACTTTGGAATCGAACCCAGGCCTTTAACGTGAACTGCAAACTACCCGTTACACCACAGGCACCGGTTTGTTTCCTTATCAGCAAAGCAAGTAGTTGTCTGACGACGCCAAACTGGCAGCATTTTTTCAGAAATGTCTGATCAAAACTTTAGCCAGCATTCCAGAAACTGTGTACAGCCAGAACATTATTACGTAACATCCCATATCACCCACAATCCCTTCCTTGTGAGAAAGCAATCGGGCCACTTTCGCGGAAATCTTTCTGACGTCTTTGGACTCTTCGGGAAACAACATTTTCTAATCAGTTGGTGCTCTCTGATCGGAAAAAAAAATCCGGCTAATCTCTTCATTTAGTCGAGGAAACAACCTTCTCCCATCAGAGAAATCAAATTCCTTTCATTATTTGTTTGTATCTCTTGCTTACTTAACTTTTTTCTGTCTGCTCATGCTTGAGACGTAGCGAGAAAAGAAGCCGCCTGTCCATTTACGACAACACTCAACTTATCGATATAATCCCCGCCACTCTTACATTCTTAGATAAAATCTTAGATAAGCCTGTTGTTTTTTATCTGGGCCAAAAATCGATGTGAAAATTGCAACACTACATTTTTTTTTCTTTGTTTCTCTTCAAGAGCTTAGATACATAGTCTGACAATTTTTAAGTGTTGATAGTAAAAAGAATCACAAAAATAGTGCGTCAGCTCTGTATCGAGGATAAATAGTAAGTATAGTTTGTGTCCATCACAGTAAATTTGCTAACTCGAAAATATCGTAACTTTTTTGGGGAAAAAATGCAATATTATATTTTATTTTATTTATCATTCTGGGTTCAAGAGCTTCGATACATACACTGTTTAGCCATCTCTAATTGATAGCAAGAAAATAACGACAGTAGAACTTCAACCTTAGACTAGGTTTATGATCAAAGATCGTACATAACAAGATAGTTCACTCCTCTCTTTGAGCCAATTAAAAACGTGTCCGCAAAATCCGATTTTGCGCCCTCTTCGAAAAAGCGCGGACTTTGCGAACAGAGTTACCCTACTTGTGTGAAAAATAATAAAAGCGAAACAAACAAACTGTGCTATTCCTCTATTCTTCTTCTAGAGAAACGAAAGAGAGCTCTTCAAAAACAAAGACTGCAGCGCCATCTAAACCAATGCGCGGACTTCCGGGGACACTTTTTTGGCCGAGTGAACTACATGCGTCTTGTTAGTACAATCTTTGTTATAATAACCAAGACAGAGCACTATCGTGGCGCCGCTCTTTTTGCTCTCTATAAAACTTCGCTGCGCTGGTGCGCAACAAGAGACAACTAAGTGAAGGGCAAAACGCCAGTCTCGTTATTATAGTCGAGTGTTCGCGCAACCTTTCAATATTTGCTTTTTAATTGGTTCAAGTAGTGTCAAATGGTGCCCGCCATAGTAAAACAGAATTACGTCAGAGTGTACAGTCTTGAATATCACAACACAAATCTATAACTTCAACTTTGTCTGGTCAATAAAAAATATAAGATTACACGTAGTTTGTCGACCTCCATTACGCGAAAACATTTCGGGATGTATCTTTTGTTATATCATTTATTGTACTTTCGTTTTGTTTACTAAGACACTCCATGTGAATTGTCGGGGTGGGTGGGGGGCTTAGATAAACTGCAAACAGACTTCACGATTAGCCGAGACTGTTCCTGAGTGTTCTCAGATCTGCTGGGGCCATAATGCTTATTATAGTGTGATCAAAAATTCGTGGCGCAACTTATCCTCAGATAGAATCTCTTTAACGAGTGAATGAATGCCCCCCCCCCCCTACTTTGCACAGCAGCTTGTATCAATTTACTTAACCATATTTTTCCTCAATTGAGGCCTGATTTTTTAAACTTTTCTACATAGATTTATATAAAATACTATAAATCTCCATTACTCGGAAAACAGGATTGTTCACAGCACTTCCCGCTTCTAGCACACATTTTGTGTACGCATTAATGACAAAACCTGTTAGGAAAAAAATTGATTTATAGTGAACACTTGTTTGCACAAGAGGTTTTCAAAACATGCGTTCAATAAGAATAATGTAGCGATTAGAAAACATAACAGACTTGGTTTTAAAACCGATGTTGCCCCAACTGTAAACCTTCTAAAAACTGTAGAAACCACCTACTAGCTATTCAGGAACTTCCTAGAATACAGATAACAGGTGTTTACAAAAATATTGATCTGTTAAGATAAATTGATTTAAGTCATTGTGCAAAAGATGATGAGACTATGTCCTATAGTTTAGGAAATATTTGACAATAAGTTGCGCCACGAATTTTCCTCTAAAACAGTAAAATATTATCTTTTCTTAGCTTATCTTATCTTATCTTATCTTATTGTATCCTTTCTTATCTATTGAACACGTATGATACAAGAAAA